GCTGATCTTATTTATCTCTTCAACACGTCAGACTTTTGTATTGATTTTTTTCTATGATATTTTCATCTTCTGTGCCTTGAAGTTGCAACTTTATCTTGGTAATCTGGATTCTTCTGCTGAAGTTAGGATTTTGGTAATTTTGCCTTTCCAGCTTCCTTTTGTGTGATGTTAGGCTTTTTACTTGGGATCTTTCTGTTTTCTATATGTGTGTGTGCAATACTATGAATTTTCTTCTTAACACTGCATTCATGGCAGCCCAGAGACTCTGATAAGGTGTGTATTTATTTGTTCTCATTTGTTTCTGGGAATCTTTTTATTTCTGTCTTGATTTTCATGTTGACCCAGAAGTTGTTCTGCAGTATGTTGTTTAGTGTCCATGTCTTTGTGTGTTTTGGGGGGATCTTGTTGGTGGCAATATTTATCTTTATTCTACTGTAAGATGCATGGTATCATTTTAATCTTTTGGAATTTGTTTATGCTTGATTTATGAGGATTCAATCTCTGAGTATGTTCCATGTGCTGATGAGCACAATGTGTACTCTGTAGTTGTTGGGTGAAGTCTGTAGATGTCTAAGTCCATTTGATTGAGCATCAAGTTGAGGTTCTGGATCTCCCTGTTGATTTTTTGCCTCAAATATCTATCTAGAGCTGATAGTTGGGTATTTAGGTCTCCTGTTATTATTGTTTTAGGGTCAATATCCTCTCTTAATAGTTGAGTTACAAAACCTGGTGTGCCTGTATTGGGTGCATATATGTTTAGAGTGGATATTTATGGCTGGTGGATTGAGCCTTTTATCATTATATAGTGTCCTTCTGTATCCTTTTGAACTTTTGGCTTGAAGGCTGTTTTGTCTGACATTAGAATAACTACTCCTGCCATCTTTTGTTTTCCATTAGCCTAAAAGTTTATTTTCCATCTTCTAACTTTGAGTCTGTAGGTGTCCTTTGTAGTGAGAGTAGTTTCCTGGAGGTAGCAGATTACTGAATTGTGCTTTTTTAGATCCAGTTTGCCACTTTATGTTTTCTTCAGTAGTGTATTTAGTTCATTCACATTCAGGCTGATTGTGTGAGAGTTTTTCCCTGTTATAGGGCTATATGCTCCATTACTCCATTAACTCTGTTTATCTGTACTCTAGTGATGTGCATGGCTGTTCTTTTTTTTTTCCTGTGCTCAGCACCTTCTTAAGCATCTCCTGAAGGGCTGGTCTGAAGACAGCATATTCTCTTAGGAACTTGATGTCTAGAAAGGATTTTAGTTGTCTGTCACTGATGAAACTTAGCTTGACTGGGTAGGAAATTATTGGTTGAAATTGCTTATCTTTAAGAACATTAAAAACTGGACTCCAATTCCTTCTGGCTTGTAGTGTTTCTGTAGATAAATCTGGAGTGATTCTGATTCATCTTCCCCAGTAGGTAGTCTGACATTTCTCTTTTGTTGTCTTTAGGATTTTTTCTTTTATACCTACTTTGTGTAGGTAGATAACTATGTGTCTAGGGTTTGGTTTTCTCATGTAATTCTTTGCGGAGGTTCTCTGAATCTTTTGTGTTTGAATGGTTGCATCTCTGGTGAGATGAAGAAAGTTTTCTTTGATGACTTTATGGAATGCTTGTTCCAAGGTGTCCTCCATTTCACTTCTGCTTCAAAGATAACTATCAGGTGTAAGTTTGGCTTCTTGATATAATCACACATCTCATAAAGTCGTTGCTCTTTCTTTTTGTGTTTTTTCCCTGTGTTTTTAACAGATTGGGTTAATTCCAAATTTTGGTCTTCAAGCTCTGAGATTCTTTCCTCTGCTTGGTTAATTATACTCCCTATGCTTGTTAGTTTTTTTTTTTTTTTTTTAATTTTATAGATGGAGTTCTTTATTTCCACTATTTCAGAATAGGCCTTCTTGAAATGGGCCAACTCTTTTACAGTTTTATTGAGTTTCACTTCTTTTTCTTCTTGATTTTTGTTCATTTTTACCAACCAATGTTTGATTTTTGTAGCTGTCATCTGAGGGAAGCCTTTCTGGGAGGTTTCCACTGTTTTTGCTCCTATGGCTGTTTTTTTGAGTGCTGTCTCTTTAGGACTCTGAAGGTTACCTTGTTTTTCCATTGATTTTTCTTCACTTGCCATGGATCTCTTTTCCTTCTCTATAATTCCATCATTCAATGAGAGAGGGAGAAGCATATTGCAGGTTCTTTCTCTCCCTCTGCTAAACTAGACAAATCAGTTTTCAGCCCAAGCAGAGCTTCTGATTCTCTCCAAGCCTGAAACAAGACAGAGGATGGGGTGGCCAGAATTCTACACCTGCCTTTCTTTCTAGTCTTTGTGTGTGCAAAGAGTCTGCTGCTAAGTGCAGAGTGTATCTGCGGTGGAGCCTCTACTCTGTTCTGCTGGCACAAGTGGCACCAGTCTGCTTCTCCTCTAGCTACCAGCAGCATACATGTCAGCTAGGTTTACTCTGCATGGGGCTCTCTTCCTGCTTGGGAAGGGGCTGCCAAGGTAGCCGTGGTGGCCACTGGCGAGTCCATTTCTCAACTCACTTGGTTGCCCTCTGTTGTGTCCCAACCAAGGCTCTACCAATGTGGGCCCAGTGGCTCATGTGTGAGTGGGAAGGGGTAAACTGATTCAAATTTCTTTGAATCACTCCCCCTTATTCTTTCCCAAGCAGAACCTCCATCTTTGTTTGAGTCTGGAACAGGTCTGGATGGGGAGCCCAGAGTCCTGGTCTGCCATTGTTTTCTGGTCTCTGTGCATTCAGAGACCTCTTCTAGGTGCTGGGTGTATTGCCCATCAATAAGTGTTCAGGGAGTCTCAGTCAATCAGTGACTGAATCTACACTCTCTGTCTTGCTAGGTGAGAGAGGTGCCAGTCTGCTGCTCCATGGTGACCAGTTTGGAGTTGATCTTTTTTTAGATCATTTGAATTACTTTTCATGTGGATTCTGAAATAGTAATAGAAACTGATCATCATGTTTCAATTCTGACCATGCTAAATTGACTGTAACTTTTTTAAGCAATCAAGTTCCCATAATTTGCCAAATATGATGATTGGACAATTATTACCTTGAAATAACTGTACATTTTCTTTCTCGAACAAAATAAGTTCCTCAAATTTGGAAATGAAACTATCAGTGGGAATATATGTAATATTATGGAATTCAGAACAGGGTACTTCAATGTTGTTATTCTTGTCACAATTTTATTAGTGGAGAATACTGCTAAAATGTTTTAGATGCATATTGATTTTCTGACAACAGGGTGTTCATTTAATATTTTACTGAAAGTAATTCACTAAATGGTATTTTGTCCTGAAAGAGTTCCCACACTTCTAAAAGGTGAACGATTTCCTCTCTCTTCTCTGAGAAACTGAGTCTGATATTGTGTTAGAGAGCTACCATGAAGTGGTTGCCTTGGAGCTAAGAAATAGAATGGCATGCTATTTTCATCCTAGCTTAGTTTTCTGATACTCTTCATTTAAGTATGATTACTTTCTTTGGGGAAGGCATATTGCATGCTTAAATGAACTTGAGCTTATCACCTTACAGACATGCTCTCCTATCAAATAGAGGGATTTATAATGCTCAGTAGAATGAGAATTATATCTGCCATGATAGTACTATTGAAATTGAACTTCTAAATAACTGAAATTTGCAAAAAACGAAAGAGATATGCAGGTCCTTGCAAGATTTGGGAAGTAAATGATATAATATTTGGAGATTGGAGAAGAATTTTTGTAAAAAGAGGTAAGTAATTTTCTAAGGACAGTATTTGTACATGTTATTTTTGCCACAGGCATGCCTAGATAAAATCTAGGGTATCTAGGGTTGCTAGGCACTATGTGGATGACATTACTATGTTGTGATCTGTCCACTCTGTTCATCATGCTATATGGAAGATTTTACATTTGCTTTTCTAATTAGTGTTTGATTTGGTAATATTCTTTTTTATTCATATGTATTATCCATCTCCCCCATGACCAGGAATAAATAGGAGAAACAGTTATTCAACTCAATGGATATTTATCTAAAAGAAGAAATAAAGATGAATGTATTTGTTAGTATATAGGTTAATTTGCTGTGACTAAGATATTTAAAATAGCAGCTAAAACAAGAAGAAAAATTGCTTCTCTCCTATGTAAAGTCTGAGTGGGAACTCTAGGGTTGGTATGGTAGTTCCACTTTCATCAGAGACCAAAATCCTTTTGTCTTATTTCTCTACCATCCTTAGCACATGTTTTCCACCATGCTCCCACCAGACCATCTACATTTCAGCCCGCACAAAGAAGGAAAGGTAGAAAGGCTATATCACATCTCTGCTAACATCGTGTTTATTCACATTTCAACAACTACAATTTGATCAAATGACAATGCTTACTTGAAGGAAGACTTAGAAATGTAGTCTCTGTCTGGATGGCCATATTACTAAGTAAGAAAGAGAGAATGGATATTGTTGAGACAACTGTTATTTGCTACCACAATGAGTATACACAAATTTCTTCCCTTGATGAGCTTAAAATATTCTGCAAGCATTAAAAATCTATACATAGTTAACTAGAACACCAGCAAGATAAAAATAAGTATGAAATAAGATTTATATGAAATGTTAGCAATCGAAGGAAAGCTTAAATATGATATACATGTCTATCATTTCAGAAACAGATAGGGCTCCAGAAATGAAAGCCCAACAGGGTATTGAAATTGTGGGTTTAGATTTATAAAGGAAATTTCTCAGTAAAAGAGGCATTTGAAGAATTGATAATCAGGACTTTTTCAAACTACAACCACTTCTACTCACCTAAAGTCGCTGAGAAGCCTCCATACCAACAAGTGTGTTCTATTTGTTGGGGATGTGGAAACAGGAAGAAAAAGATGGAGACTAACAGTCCTAAATCCTTCACAAGTTGTAAAGTCATAAAGTCATAAGTCATAAAGGGTAGCTTTCCTTATCATATAGTTTTACCTGTCTTACTGAATAGAATCTTTGATATCCTTTCTGCTTATTCCCTCTTTCAGGGTGCTTTTCAGGAAATAATGATCACTTTTTGGCAATTAATCAGAAGAGTGGGAAGCCAGTATTCATTTATCACCATTCGCAAGACACTGAGAAGAGCCTGGATATGGCTCCACAAAAGATATATAAGCATAGCTACCATTCATCTTCTGAAGTTCAAGCAAGAAAACACCACCAAATTGTTAATTCAGCAATTCCTAGACCTGCGTATGACCCCTCTCTCAATCTGTTGGCTGTGACTGGTCAAGATATTGAAGTGGAAAATCTTCCAATCCCAGCAGCAAATGTAATTGTGGTGGTAAGTAGTATGTTTAATTCATGCTGAGGCTGATGTTGACACTTTCTTTTGTCATTGAATCTTGACAGAAATACTAATTGTGAATAGTTATTGAATATCAATGTCTATTTACCAAAGCATCTATTCCCTGATATTTCTCTTTTGTTGCTTGACTATTGTCTGTTTTCTTCTTCCTGTGAAATCAGAAAACTTGTCTCTATCCTCTGCTCATAGCACAATGCATGGCACTTGGTACATACTAAATAAATATTTGAATTAAAATTTGCTTTAGGAAGATCTTACACTTGTAGCTGATCATATTCTGTACTTACCTCCTTCCTTTTGTGCTAATCTGTTTTAAGAAGATAGACATGGCCAGGCCTGGTAGCTCAGCCTGTAATCCCCACACTTTGGAAGACTAAGGTGAATGAGTTGCCTGAGCCTGTGGATTCGAGACAAGCCTGGGAAAATTAGTGAGACCTCATCTCTACAATAAATCAAAAATTAGCTGAGCATGGTAGTGCACACCTGTAGTTCTGGCTACTTGGAAGGCTGAGGTGGCAGGATCTCTGGCACCCAGCAGGTCAACGCTGGGGTGGCCATAAGCATACCACTGCACTCCAGCCTGGACAACAGAGTGAGACTCCAACACACACACACACACACACACACACACACACACACACACACACACACACACACAAGATAGGCCTTAGTTTCAGCTTATGAAAATAGAATGTACTTTTTGAAGATCCTTTGGTCACTTGAATCAAATTATAATAAAGGAAAAGACACTTGAAAAGGAAGGGGTTTTGTAGGAGGAAGCTAGTTTTCTGTCACTGGAGCAAATAAAAATGGATTGAGAGAAATTATTGACAATATTGCTTATTTCATCACTATTGACAATATTGCTTATTTCATCACTTTACTGATGAAAGTGAAGCTATGGTCCTATTGCTTATATTCTTAGAGTAATCCAGGTCAGATGCTTGAAATTTGTGAAAAAATATCATAATTTAAATGTGTGCTGAGGCTGACACCCTATTTGGACTATAGTCCCTCTCAAGTTTAACATTCGAATAGGATAATCCACATTAAAATTACAAATTAGTAGGTTGTTGCTTTATTTATGCTCCAAAATATAATCAAATGAGTTGATTTTTGAGTCCAAGATAATTCACTGAAATCATATTTGCATTTTGGCAACCTCTGTATGCATCAAATGTAACTAAATGTAACAAGCTTCTTTTTCTTTATTTTTTTAATCTACTACATTTGGTACACTTTACTTAGTATTAAGAACCAAAGATCCCTCCTTAGTGTTTCAACCAGCATACATTGAACATTTATGATGATCCAGTTTTCACTTGAGGCATCTAGAAATAGAGACAAATGAAGTAGTCTCTGGTTTTGCTTGGGAAAATTCTGAGAGAAAATAGTAATAATTCAATAAAAATTACAAGTTGAAACACAAGATGAACCCTTGTTAAGAGAAAATATGTGGGTAATTGGCATCCCGAAATACTTGAACAAGTTCTCTGCATTTACACAAGTAACAGATGTTCTGAAGGTGAAAGTCATGTACTTTGTCTATTCAGTGAAGGTAAATGATGTTAATAATGTCTCTGAGCCGGGCTCAGTGGCTCAGCCTGTAATCCCGTGCCTTTGGGAGGCTGAGGTGAGTGGATTGCCTGAGCCCGTGGGTTTGAGACCTGCCTGGGCAGTGAGACCTCATCTCTACAATAAATCAAAAAATCATCCAGGCGTGGTAGTGTGCACCTGTAATTCCAGCTACTCAGAAGGCTGAGGCAGAAGAATTGCTGGAGCCCAGCAGGTCGAGGCTGTGGTGGCCAGGAGCAGCCACTGCACTCCAGTCTGGGTGACAGAGTGAGACTCCAACTCAAAAAAAAAAAGTCTCTGTATCTGGAAATGCCCATGTTAATGCTAGGGCTTATGGGAGATATTTCTAGTGACCATCGTATACTCACAGTCATTAACTCTTAAAGTCACTGTGAATTACAGTTCAAGAGGTTTGTTCTATCTTGCAATGTCATATACTCTCTAGTTAATTTAATAGTATGGAAGATAAAAGGCATCAATGAGGATTTCTGGCAGGTCATTTCACTTTTAGTTTATTTGTGGTTGGAGAGTCATGAAGTAGCTGTGCTTTTCTTTTTGTGTGATGATTGCATAGAGGCAATGGGTGAGTATGCTGCATTAGCCTTCCCTAACTTCTTTTGATCTAACCTCTAACCATGCTGTGGCTTTGGTAGCTGGCAATGTTTACTAGTGCTAATGTTTCCTGTAATACACTTGCATTACTAATGCACATGATGATTTAGCAGAAAAAACAGAGAGGTAGGGTTATTTTTAAAATAAATCAATAATGTTCAGCTTCCTCAAAAAGCAAAGAGGTGGCATGCAATTAAATATCAGCTGGTTTGAAGGTCCATTCTAACCAGACAAGGGATCTGTAAAAAGGCATAGAGGAAGGAGAACAAGAAGATGGCGACAGCATAGGTGAACTGGTGAGATTCTCTGAACGGACCAAGACTACATACTGCTGAATAGACAGACTGTAAAGCAGAGGGAAAAGTGAACAAAGCCAAAAGACCCTCATAAGGAAGAACAGGACATTGCAGAAGAGAAATAAAAGCAACCCCACCTTCCCTCAAAAACAGAATTGAACAGGGGGAGGGAAAGGGGGGAGAGGGAGAAAAATCTACAGAAATGAAGAAAAAACCAAAAGAAGAATATGGGTCTCTCCCAGATGCCTGGGAGAGCAGACACTGAGAAAACTGATTTTGGAATGCAAACAATGAAAAGCCTCCAGAATGAAGGGTCTCAAACTACAAATGTAGATATCAAGACAATAATGGAGAGATTAAAAAGAATTGAGGAGACACAAGAAGAAACTAGGAAGGAACTGATATCTGAGATAATAGTAATAAAGAATACTGTGAATGAAATAAATAACAAACTGATAAGCATGGAAAGCAGAATTACCCAAGCAGAAGAAAGAATCTCAGAACTTGAGGACCAAAATATAGAATTAATCCAAACTCTTAAAAACACAGAAAATAAGCTCAAAAAGACAGAACAAAACCTTCAAGAGATGAGTGACTACCTCAAGAGGCCTAACCTAAGAGTAATCAGACTCCCTGAGGCAGAAAGAGAAACAGAGACCACACTGGAACAAACTTTCCATGAGATCATTCAAGAAAACTTCCCTTATCTAATCAGTGATGCAAAAATTCAAACACAAGAGATTCAGAGAACCCCTGCAAGACAACAAATGAGAAGACCAACTCCTAGACACATAATAATTCGCCTAAATAAAGTAGGCACAAAAGAAAAAAATCCTAAAGGCAGCAAGAGAAAAAGGTCAGATCACCTACCATGGAAGACCAATCGGAATAGTAGCAGATTTAGCTACAGAAACCCTGCAGGCTAGGAGAGCTTGGAGCCCTATGTTCAAAGTCCTAAAAGATAAACAATTTCAACCAAGAATAACCTATCCAGCCAAGCTCAGCTTCATCAGTGAGGGAGAATTAAAATCTTTCCCAAATATTCAAATCCTAAGAACTTATGCTGCCACCAAACCATCCCTACAGGAAACACTTAAGAAAGTACTAAACACAGAAGAAAAGGAAAAAAGAACAACATTCTTCACAAGAGTACAGGGAAAAGAATAAAATATACAGGAACCAACCCCAAAACCAAAAGAAAGACAAAAAAAAAGAAAAAACCAAGTGGAAGAACAACAACTCAAGAACTCCATGATAGGGACGAACTCTCACATTTCAATAATTAGCCTGAATGTGAATGGACTAAACGCACCACTGAAAAGACATAGAATGGCAAAATGGATAAAATATCACCAGGCAACAATATACTGCCTTCAAGAGACCCATCTCACTAGAAAGGACATACACAGACTCAAAGTAAGAGGATGGGAAACAAATTTTCAGGTGAATGGAACAGAAAAGATAGGAGGTGTCGCAATCCTAATTTCAGACAAAATACTATTTAAGCTATCAAAAATTGAAAAAGATACAGAGGGCCACTACATAATGATAAAAGGTTCACTCCATCAACAAGAAATATCTATCCTAAACATATATGCATCCAACATACGTACGCCAACATTCATAAAGCAACTTCTAGGAAAACTAAAGAAAGACATTGACTCTAACACCATCATAACTGGGGACTTTAATACACCTCTCACAACCCTAGACAGATCATCAGGACAAAACAGCAAGAAGATCCGGAACCTCAATGAGACTCTGGACCAAATGGACTTAATTGATACCTACAGAACACTCCATCCAAAGACCACAGAATACACATTCTACTCATCACTGCATGGAACATATTCTAAGATCAACCACATAATTGGACACAAATCAAGCATAAGCAAATTTAAAAGGACTGAAATTCTACCATGCACCTTCTCGAACCACAGTGGAATAAAAATAAACATTGACACCAACAAGGTCCCCCCCAAACCCACAAAGACATGGACACTAAACAGCATGATGCCAAACAACTCCTGGGTCAATGATGAAATCAAAACAGAGATCAAAAGATACCTGGAAACAAATGAGAATGAAAAAACATCTTACCAAAATCTCTGGGATGCCTTAAAAGCTGTAATAAGAGGGGAATTTATATTCCTACAAACACACATGAGGAAAATGGAAGGAACAGAAATTCACAACCTAACAAGCCACCTAAAGAAGCTGGAAAAGC